GTTGAGATCCCCACCCCAAAACTATATATACAAATGCTGGGCATAAAGAGACGAATGCAGTCATGATATCAGAATAGACCCTGGGGTCTGACCGAACCCCTAGGGACCTAGTTTCTTAGTCACAGCTTGGAAACAGCTGAGAGCCCCACCCTAAAACCGTTTATACGAGCCCCACCCTAAAACCGTTTATACAATTGCTGAGTATAAAAAGATGATTGCACATATGCTTCCAGGATGGCCTTAGGGACTGCCCCACACTTGGAGACTTAACCCCTGGGTCATAACTTTGAAATGGTTAAGATCCCTACCCCAAAACTATATATACAATTGTTGGGCATAAAGAGACGAATGCAGTCATGATATTAGAATTGACCCCAGGGTCTGCCCCACCTTTGCAGACTTAACCCCTGTGTCATAACTTTGAAACCGTTGAGATCCCCACCCCAAAACTATATATACAAATGCTGGGCAAAAGAGACAAATGCAGTCACGATATTAGAATTGATTCTGGGGTCTGGCCACAACCCTAGGGACCTAGTTTCTGAGTCAAAGCTTAGAAACAGTTGAGATCCCCACCCCATAACCATACATAAAATTGCTGGGCATGACAAAATCTAATACAGTTATGCTACAAAGATTGGCCTTGGGGTCTGGCATATTCCCTTGATCTCATTTGGAGAATATTTTGCCATGATTGCTAAGGTATCCAGGTGAGCGATACAGGCCCTCTGGGCCTCTTGTAACTGTGATGTTACAATAACATCATGATGTCAATATAAAACGATGTCATGGTTCTTCATTTCTTGATTTAAAACGGCTGGAATTGGAGAGAAATCATCCTTGATCTAAAAAGGGTAAACTTTTGATAACATGTTTATCAAAAGCTGAACCTTTGGAGTAAGAGGATGATTTTAATTTAGGAACATGCTAATTAAAATATCCTTAACTCACAAGTACAGTAGATTTTTTGCCTCCCTGAAAATTTGCAATATTGACATCAAACATAGACATCCAAAAGAAATTCCTAGAGTTCAGTAAGCCTCATTGATTGCTTGTCTTTTATTGTGATCATGTGTCATTTTGTTTTTATCAGAATTCATTCATGTTTTATTTCATAAAAAGTTTTGTGAGGGAATTCTGAGTTAGTGATGTTTTTTTATCGCCTGCAGTACTTACCTACTGGCATCCTTGATATCCAGGGGTTACGCTCACTTTCGCTCTCTGCACCCCTGGAATATGTCATAGCAAATTTGAAGGCTCAGTGTGTGCCACCTTGTTGCTGAGACAAGAAGACTAGTTCGATCCTTTGATAAATATCAAAAGAATCTCCCCGTCACGTAACAGTAAAAATTGACAGGCTTTGAAGTCGCGCGTCTCTCCTTTGTAATCTTCAAAGGACAGGTATCAGCCTAGCGATTGGTCAGGTTTTTTTTTACCCGAGACCAATCAAACAGCTGTGTTTGTGCCTTCAATTTTGCTATGACATATTCCAGGGGTGCAGAGAGTGAAAGTGAGCGTAACCATTGGATATCAAGGATGACCTAGTGGCTAAAGTGGGCACATGTACACCCTTGTGTAAATATCCCAAATTTACCATGTACAGGTATTGTAGAAATAATTTGTCAGAACAAATCCATTGTTTGAATATTTTTTTTCGATACATGTACATGTATTAACAAACCTTATTTTTGTAAATTTTGTCTGTAGATAAAACCACCAAGCCTGCGTGATTTATGGAAATCTGACACGGATGTTTCGTCACAACAAAAGAAAAAACAGAGGACAAAGCCGGGAGATAATATCGCAAAACAGAAAAGTTATCCAAGACATAATAAAAACAACTCGTTGCACATGAGAGTTGGAAATAACAGTGAGAGAGGTGGCAAAGACGATTTGAAATTTAAACCTTTTTCTTTACCGAAAGATAGTGACAATACGTGGGCAGATACCGAAGTTCGTCAAAAATGGAATAAGAAACGTAAATGTTATACAGAAGATCTAGACGAGGAAAGTACATTTGAGGAAGGTCATCTAGATTTGAATGGAGAAACCCGTTCTCATAGAGATGAACAATGGAATAAACAACTAGAAAGTTTCAAATGGAATATGGAACAGCCTGAAAAGGGGAAAAAGTAACTGAAGTGATAGGTTAAGGTGAACTTTATGCCATCACAATTTTCACCAGCTTTAAATTTGAGTATATATATCTTTTTGAACTATGAAAACTGTTTGATCAAATATATAGCCATAATGAGAATGTGGTTGTTGATATACTATATGTGGCAACTAAAAAATCTCTGAGGGACCCAGCAACAATTGTAATGGGATTTCCTGTCAGAGATTCTGAAATCAAACGGCTTTTTCTGGTGCCATTTTGGGGTCAGATATTGGCCCCACTCCAAATGGAAAATGTTTACATTTTTTTTTCCAATATCTGAAATTTCAAAAAAAGCATTTTTTGTACATCTAAGCTTGTATTTTGATGATAATACAACAGCTGCATGAGCCTCGGGTCTCCTGCTCAATATTTTATCCCTTGGGTTTGAATAACCTTATCCATACCTCTTATTAGGGAAGGATTCTATTAATCTGGGGTCTTAGACGAGTTTCATTTTCCCTTACTATGAGATGACAGATTTATGGAAGGATTGTTTTATTTGTATGAGACTCTTAGAAGCTAAAGTGAAAGAATTAAAGTACGGTAGTTTCAATGAAATTGAAATGTATAAGATCCATTTTGTCAAACGATCAAGAATGTTTGCGATTGTCACCATATAGTTATAATACTCTCCATGTTGATGTCATAAAAACTGTAAACTTACCATCTTTTCATCATCATTACATGATTTAAAAAAGGTCGTACATGCATTTTGTAGTTCATTTCCAAAATATTGATAATATTGTATTGAATACAGTACATATTAAATAGATGCTATTATTCCAGATTTTCCATTTGATGCCAAAGACTTTCTTGTTTTGTGATCCTTTGAGAATTTCCTTTTTATAAAATGGCATTATTTATGATTCTGTTAATGGAACAGGGTGCAATGGGAGATCTGATATATATTTCGTTTGTTGTGTCAACCTCTTGTGATAAGATTTGGTATAATGAATACACATTTTTACAATTATCATTGTGTTGATTATTTTAGTTATGTCATGAAGGGTTAAGCATATAATGTTATGCTGCCTCTGGCATCTTCTGTTGTCAACTTTTCCTTAAAAATACTACTTGTCAAGAACAGCTGAAGGTATTTGACTTTATTTGATGTGGAGCACAGTTGGGCAAAGGGAATGTGAAGTTGTATAAATGGGGATTTTGTGCCCTCCTCGTGGGCAGAGGAAATTAAGGTAAATCTTAGCTAATCCTTCAAGTAAAGTTCTTTTAACCTTTGGATTGGAGCATTCTTAGGCCAAAGGACTAATTGTTGTATGAACAAAGGGCCTCAAATTCCCCATGCAGCTACACAGTGTGACAAACTGAGGAAATTAAGGTAACAATTTAAAATCCTATTTTTTCCTTTCTTTAGGTACTGCTCAAGGGATTCCAACTAAATTTGATCTGGAGCATCCTTGTCTAATAAAACAGGGGTCAAATGTGTCAAAACATTTAAATGATTTCTGGTGAAAAACCAAGAGACCTTATGCGGTGATGTTTGGCCAGTAGCATACTTGAGTGAAGAATTATCAATCTGTTTGAATGAATGACTTGGACCCAATTTTAAAGTCAAAGGGCTAAATGTGTTAAAAATATTCAACAACTTTTTCTGGATAGCGAACAGGTATAGGGTACTATTATTTTTTCCAGTTGCATGATGTGATGATATGAAAGCTATCAAGTTTGTTTAAATAAATGACCTTGACCCACTTCCAAGTTAACAAGGGCCAACTACATTAACACTTTTAAATGACTTCTTATGAGAAACCAAGAGGCCTAGGTGATGTTATTTGGTCAGTATCCTTCTGGGATGAAGTACTTTATAATAAAAATAATTTGAGGTTCTTAAATACCGCTTTATCATAACCTTAGTTCGTAGGTCGTCTCAAAGCGGTTCACAAATTATTATCCGTGGTTATAGGGCCTTTGCAACCAGCCAATACCTTTTTGCCATTTCTGTGCTAACAGCTAGCATTCAACAATTCTAGCACTGCCCAACCACGTACTCATTTACAGCTGAGTAGACTGGAACAAGCGGAGTAAAGAATCTTGCTCAAAGATACAACACATTGCCTATCAACTTTGTTTAAATGACCTTGAATCACTTCCAAGGCCAAATGATAACTTGATGATGCTGACCCCTCTGAAACACCTTGTCTTATTCTCCTTCTGCTATTTTAAGGGTCTCCACGTAAAAATTACATTGTTCATATTATAATTTTGCCCTAGTTTTATCGATTTTGAGGTCAAATTAGGGTTTTGTTGACTCTTCAATATTCTCTTGTTGGTTTTTTTACCCATTTTTAAGGTCACAGGTCGTAGAGTAAAATTTGTTAAAAACTTTAAGATTATCTCTTCTGATAAATGAACAGGCCTAAGGGTGATGATATCTGGCGAAAATCATACTAGGATGATAATACTTCATTTTCTATATAAAAAAACCTGACCTATTTTTGTTGTCATTATCAAAAAGGCTCAAATCAAATTCATTATTTATCATATTAATTTTGTAATGTTACATGAAGCTATTGAGGTACATGTAACTATATTGATGTACTACAGAAAAAATGTTGAATACATCAAGCTGTCAAAGAGTAGTCTTTCTTGTATGTGGTTATAATTATGACAAAGGGTATGTTTTTATGGGAAAAGATATCAAGCTGGTAAAAAATTGAAAAAAAGGACAAACAAATTTTACAGCTGACTTCAGATCATATAACATATTTATTTCTTAATACATATGATATTACTTAATAATATTACAATCATACGAGGCATCTTCCTTTCCCCAAAGCAGTAAATAGTTATTTTTAAGGTACAACACACTTGTATTATAGATAATGGAATTCGTATGTAGATGATAACAGTTCTGCTTTCTAGGTTTGTTCGGAAAATCTTGGCTGCTAATTCTAATCAGTAGACAAAGTACAAGTTAATTTGTGATTAAGGTGCACATGCAATATGGTTGGGTGGCAAAGTTAATTGCACCCTCGACCTTTCACCAATGCGGTCAGTTTTATTCCCCATAAAAAGGTATGGGTCACCTGCCTGACCACATCTTTTTCTGTTGTTACGTATACTCCAGTGTCCTCTAATATAAGGACCCCCAACACTACTATTTGGGCCAGCGAGTACTGTAATTAATTGGATGGAATTAGATGGATGTAACTCCCAAGAATAATTCAAAATGAGTTCATAAATAGCATTTTTTTTGAAAGACAATACAAACTAAAACTGATGTACACATATACCTTAAATATTATGATAATCCCTAATACCTGAAGGTGTGTAATGATATATTGCTCAAACCAATTAATTAATACAGACACATTAATTAACATTACCAGAGCAGAAATGCATCCATTATATAATATATACACATATTTAATAAAATAGCACATGTCTACATAAATAATATTATGTAAAATGGCACTAATTAAAAACACAGAAACATTTGAAACGTTGACTTAAGGACCCCTGATCCACTGACAGTAAAACACTGAAGAGTTCCACAGTTGTTTTACAAACTCAACTTTGCTGCAGAGCATAGAGTAACCTCCCTTCCATTTCGTTCTGGCTATAAATGTAATGGGAATGAGCTAGGGAGCTACATATACAGCTGATCAGTAGATCAGAGTGAATGTATTGTGATCGAAGGTCCATGGTTCAAATCCACGTAAGACCCTGTTGCTTTATCATGCTTAGAACACCAATTTATTTATTTTTTAATTAAAAGTTTTACTTCATACAGAAGCAACGGACATGCTGAACATGTCACAACTTCCCCTTTGTGTGCTAACAAAGTTCGCCAAATTAAATCATCCACCCCTGAAGACACATTTGAACTCTTCCAATTCAAGGGTTAGAATAGGTCATTATGAAATTTCAGGGGTTAATGAGTTAAAAGGACCGATTGGTCTTGAAACATTGCGACACGTTGGATATGTACATTGTTTGTGTATAAAGTAAAACGCTGATAAAACTATAATCGTTAGGGTAACAGTTCCCAATTCATAAATTCATAGTGACAAATCTTCACAGTGGTACAATGGACCCAAATAAGCATCTTTTCATAATTAATTAAGCTTGAAACAATCAAGTTGTGATGAAACAAACATCTGAATTGACATTTGAGGAATGAAAATAATTCTCATGGATGACAACTATTTTAAGGGAAACAGGCAGACTAAATATTGAATTGTGCAATGGTTAAGATCCGTAGTTAGACATTATAAACTGAGGTTTTATCATGGTTTTGGTTTGTTTTTGTTGTGTGTCCTATTAACAGCTATGGTCCTTTAAGGACGTGTCAGGTTTTGTTGGTGGAGGAATTCCGGAGTTCCGGAGAAAAAACCACCGACCTTCGGCCAGTACCTGGTATCTGGTTTCGAACTCACGACCCAGTGGTGGAGGGCTAATGGTAGCAGAATGTGAGGCTCCTTAACCACTTGGCCACCACGGCCCCATGGACTGGAATCAATGGGATCCCGGAGATTGTACTCATTTGAAACATTAAACCTAAAATACAAGTAATATATGGAATATTCATGAATATAACACAGACACTGTTACAGTATCAGATTAATAGCGTATTTGATAAACCCTGAAATACTGCAGCTGAGAAAAGTAACTGTATAGGGTATTGGAATGTCATACAGCTTCAACTCTAAAAATAACACGGCTGAGAGAGCTTAAAATTACTCTGTTTACAGTGTTGGAATGTTATTAATACAATTTAAACTATGAAGCATAACACAGCTCAGGGTAAAGTGACTCTGTTTGTATACAGTATTGGAAAGTTATTTATACAGCTAAAACTGTGACAAAACGTTGTCAATACCATGGTTGAGGAAAAATACCATGAATATTCGCATATTGTGCTCACTTGTGTATAGTGTGCAGGTACTTTTTTTTTTTTCTGGAAAAAATGTCAACCTGGTACTCTGTGTACAATGCTGGACTGTTACACAGTAAAACACAGTAAAAGTTACAAAATGGAACATAGCTCCTTGTACATTCTCAGCAAAGTTTGCATCAATTATGCTCATCAAGCATACATCATTCAAACACAGTCTATCTGATGATCAAATATCACAGCATTTACAGAGCAATAATAATAATAATAACAATAATTCGAGATTCTTGTATACCGCTTTATCACAACCTAGTTCGTAGGTCGTCTCAAAGCGGTTCACAAATTATTATCTGTAGTTGTAGGGCCAATTGGGCCTTTGCAACCAGCCAACATATTTCTTAACCCCCTGGGGAGTAACAGCTAGTGCTGCCATTTTGGCACTCACAGCTAACATTCAACAATTCTAGCACTGCCCAACCACGTACCCATTTACAGCTGAGTAGACTGGAACAAGCAGAGTAAAGTATCTTGCTCATAGATACAACACAGTGCCGTGCTGTGGCTCGAACCCGCAACCCTTTAGTCACGAGCCCGGCGTCCTACCACTCTATAGACTAGCATGCCTCCTTAAAATGTAAAGTACCAGAAAAGATACTTTAAATAAGATATTTAACTACTTTATAACTTGTTACATTGCTTATATTAAGTACATACTGGATGAAATCCTCCAGTCAGAATATGGGCACATTTTTCTTCGATAGCAGTCTTTTTATGACAGTTTTCAGTTAATTTTTTCTTGGTTGCAGTTGCCAGTATATGATCTATAGTCTTTTTTTTCTATCAACAACTGTTATAAAGCTAAACTATTCCAGCTAGACATGTTACAAATATCTATGCTATGTCACTTGCTATTATTGAACTGTTAAAACGTTTTCAAGCATCCTTGTGTTGTACTGAGACTAGATTTACTAGAGTATGTGTAATAGATAGTGTATGTAAATGCATTGGGGCTACAAATAATGCTGAATCACAATTACATATAATTGTAAACATCTTACTAATAAATAATCCCTAACAGTTTTCTTCATATGTCATATTAATGAGCAGTGGCGGATCCAGAGGGGTCTTTTGGGCTTCAAGAACCCCCCCTGAGGATTTTCTTTAAAAAATCATGTATTTTCCTCAATTTTTCCCCACATGGACTCCATCCCCCTCCCCC